TCTTCTCATTCTCTGACAAACTATCCTCAACTTGTTTCAATCCAATTATAACTTCACCCTTGGATTCATCATCACAAAATGGGGAGGAGGTCGAATTTAATTGATGAGGAAATTAGGATTTGGGGTCGAATCTCTAGTTATGTTATTAACTAAAATGGTTTTATCTAAATGTATATTTTAAATAACAAGAAAAAGGAAAATATAGTTTAAATATAATATAAATTTTTTAAATAGAATGGAGGGGCAAAATTGGAAATGTATATTTACTTTTAGCTGACCTGAGGAATATGTTATGAAAGTAAACTTCAAATCTTCAATGGTGATTTCTGAAAAAAAAAAATTCTTGAATAATGCTTTGAACAATCTAAATGAATAGCTTTACTCTTTTTTTTTTTTTTTGTAACACAACATGTTACCTATTTTATTATTGTATTACATGTGTTTCACTACCATATTTTCAACGCCACCATTGCTATCACTTGTAATACAGTGTGTTACACATTGTGTCGCATATTTCTACCGCAATTGTGTTCGTCAATACTATTTGTAATCTTCGGTGTTATACTATTGCCACCATCGATCCCATCACTTGTATTACAACATTTGTCATTGTGATTATCAAAAACAATAGTAAACACCTTGTATAGATATTTTTTGAGAAAATTAGGAAAACATGATTTTAAGATTTCATTCTCATTAATCAGATAATTACAAAATTTATTCAAAATTCAGTCGTTAAATATATTACTATTATCATTATATAAAATATATTTTTATATATTTTACTATATTTAAAATTATTTACTAAAAATTATAAGTATAGTATGTACATTATCAAATCAATCCCAAATTTGAAGGTTAATTTGAATCATTATCCGATTTCGAAACCGTAAAACATCTAGAGAGAAGATCCTTTAGTCAGTTGATGGATATTTTGCAATCAGATTCAATATTTTCCTTTTTGATGCCTTAAATGAAGCTTTCTCCTTCGAAATCAAGTCACAATTTCGCACTAAGTCGCAGTTTTTAAAGACCTCTTTTTTTCTTTCACAACCTTAAATTGTAAATTCTAACTTGAAACTATAAAACGTATTATATGTGATATGCTGGACAAAAGAATGTCACTAATTTGTGACGGGCAAATAACCTTATAAGTCAAAAATACACAACGTAATAGGTCATAGTCATATAACGCGTTAAAAATTAAGCTTGCAAATTGTGGAGAGATATAATTAATGTATTGTGACCGAAAAATATGGTGATCGAGTTCGGTTAATGGAAACAATTGTTTAGTATTTTTGCTTCGCCAACAAATGGAAAACGATGAAAAAACTGTGGCGGCAAGAAGGAAAAATTAATTTGGAAGAAATCACGTTGAAAAAATTGTGGCAAATTCTTCATTTATTCTCAATTATCTCTTAATAACTCTCAAATTAAGTCACATTATTCTCTTATATAAATTAATATATTTTTATAAATTTTAGAAATGGTAATATTGATTTATGACTTGATTTTTGAAAAAAATCTACAAATTTTGTATTTTAAGAATGAACTCTTAAAGTATGTTAGTTATGATTTTTTTTTTTTCCCATAATTTTTCCCAACTATTGTTTAGACATGAGCCTAGAGGTATCAATCCGAGTAGGGGTGGGCAAAAAAATCGAAAAACCGACCAAACCGAACCGACTCGGGTCGGTTTG